GAGGTTTGCTAAATGTTTTTTTTTTTTTTACTTATGTTTTGTATTCATTTTCAGGCTCATTATGAGATATCAAATGAAGTCGAAATATTACATTTTTAATATCATTTTGAAGTACTCGCGGCATAGTATTTCACGTCGTTAACGGTGCGTGAAATGGCTAATTGTAGCAAATGTTACGGGACGTCAAAATAGACATTTTCAAAATATATTTCGAAATTTTCGATAATAAGTTAACTTTAAAAATTCATTGACGATTATACGATAGTCGAATCGATAAATATTTTACTTTCTCTCGAAACTCATTTCAAAAACTATATTATAGACACATCGAATGATCTAAATGAATATCGAAAATAGTTAAACGGATATTAAACGTATGTGTTAAAAAATGCGTATAAGTCGTCGTTCTTAAAAAAAATCAATTATTTTATTACTATTTATTATTTTTTTCGCAACAAATTTTCTCAATACATCATTTTGCTCAAGAAAAATTATGTGATATGACATAAATTTTTTTTTCATGCACGGAGTGAATATGTTGTTTTTTTTTTTTAACAATAATTTTGTTTATTAATATAATTTTAAAAATTTAAATATATAAGATATGATTGATAGTCAATAGCGTGATAATTAGGAGAAACAGTATGGTGTGTCAGATTCAAAGCAAGGGAGAAATATTGCGGTGAACAATGGCGTGTGACAAAATTCCTACAGTATTTTTGAGTAGAATTTTTCCTGTTGCCAAATCAGTTCCCAAACCGATTAAGTGTGAAAATGAGTGTGACAAAATAAATAGTAAATTCTCATTCTCTCTTTTATGGTAGTGTAGATACTTTTCCCATTTTCTAGTGTAAACTTTCTTTGTCCGTTTCCTACGCCGTTAGCCAGCTGCAAGAGTTAGTAATATACAAATGGGCTGGACTTATAGCCCAGATGGAGTGAAACTCTAAGTTACATGTATACAATGTAGCCACTTCATTTATTTTTCTTTAGCTATCACGATCCAAATTGAAGTCCACCCACATTCGGCCGTTTTGCATGGTTTTGGAGAAGCCCAAGGAAGTTTTTGAGAACCAAAAATTATTTTTGGATTCATTTGACTAATTTTATAAAAGTACATTTTCTGGTTAGAAATTTTTTTTAGTGTAAGTTGGTCCAATTTTGCTTCATTTAAAAGCATCTCCCGAATAAAAAGCTCTTTTAAAAATTAATTTTCAAATAAAAATTAAGTTAGCTTTATGAAAAAATTCTTCTACAAAAAGTAAAAGTAAATGCAAAAATCATGTCAAATGGACCATTTGTCTATTTTCGATGTCTTGGGAGTCTAACCCTCCATTTGGTTCCACTAAAAAAGTGAGTTAAAATTTAAGTTAAAGTCAATAAGTAATTTTAATCACATATATTATGCAACTTGCGACTTTTTAACTACACATTTCATTAAATTTTTTTTATGAAAAATTGTTAAAGTTTGCATTTTATCTAAACCATATAGGAGCTAAGAGATTATGTAAAAACTCTATAAACACAAAATATTCTCTATTTTATAAAGCCGATACTTTAAAATAAATTTCAAAATACACTTTATTTTTAACTCTTGAAAATAAAAAGTAAGTTTGACTTTTTAGATTTGAAGAACTAAACATACTCTCTATTCTTAATTAAAAAAGATTGCATTTAATAAGTTACAAATTTTAATGTTCTAGAATTTGAATAATTCAAATCACATTGAACAATACTATTCACAATCGTTCACTACGATAGTTGTCTTAAGCGGGACGTACACATGACATATTGTTATTTGATGTATGAGTCAATAAAAAAATTTACATATAAAAAAATACGTCAAGCCTTTGTTTGATGCCCATTAAAAAGATTTATTATATTTTTTTTTTGGAACATGAGTTTTAGAATATTGATTTTTCAAATAATATATGTTTAAATAGTAGAAAAATATTTTGAGTTTATACGCAAAACATTTTATTGTCGAAATATCTAACTGAAAATGAGTTTTAGAAAAAAAAAAATTTAGAGAATGATAGACAAACGACAGCTAAATAAGAGAATGTGAGAAATCAATGAATGTTCATTGAAAAAAATTAAAAATAAAAAGTAAAATAGTGAGTATTGTTTTAGTGCGTAAAAAATATTTACTTTGAAAATTAAATAGGCTTTTTATTATATATAGATACTTTTTAAGTATAAAGAATCTTTTGAAAATACTCCAAAACGCTTAATAATTCAAGACTTACGTCACTCCTAAGGTCTTTGTAGGATCTGCATCTTTTTGGGCATATTCTATTGAATATTTTCTCTTTGGGTAGTGGTGGTGGGGTTTGTAACGTAATTAATCAAGATAATTACTGTTATTGAAATAAAAGTTGCTTTCTAAAGTCTTGTTGATGCAAACATTTGATTTGACAAAATACGAAAAATATTGTCTCCTACTGTATTTATATACACGAGAATACTAGACTAAGTCATCGCCAGTCCAAGATGAAATAAAGAAGACTCGTTAAATAAAGGGTAGAACTAGTTGATTGACACCTAAAATAGAACGTATTAATAGACTCGACACAAGATACATCAAAGAATATTAAGTAATGAAAAGTCAAGATGAAGGAAGTATAGTCAACCGGGGATCAAAATTTGGCCACACAAATCAACAGAAGTCCAAGTATACGAGTCCAGCATGAAATGCACATGGGATATTGAGCCAGGAATTAGACTAGATTTAGAGCATGTTTGGGTGAGTTTTTTAAAATATAAATTTCACATGTGTAACTTATTTTAATTTTTAAATATCTATAGGTGAGTTCACATTAAAAATAGGATTATTCTATATGTACAAAATTATGTACAAAATCAACGACAAACTTGACAAGTGGTGGCCCCCTGTTGGTGGAGTGGTGGTGGGGCCAGCCGCCCCACTAACAGGGAGCCGCCACTTGTCAAGTTTGTCAAACTTTTAGTAATTGATTTTGTACTTGTAGACTAATCCTTAAAAATAAGCCTGACATCTCATGCTTTATCTAGCGAGTGAGATCAATGAGAACAGTGAAATAGCGGTTCAATCATTGGCACATCGTTTGTGTCATTGTGAAAAGAGTTATGTTATATGTACAAAATTTATTTACAAAATTGATTAACAAAGTAATATCTATATCAGTTATTTCAATATCATATTTTTAAATCATTAAAAATCAATATTCTAAATTTTTTCAACACTTATTTTGTCAATAAAATTTGTAAACACGCTTTCTGTAAATAGCATAATACTCCTTGTGAAAATAGCTAAACCGACTACTTGGTCAACGGAAGTTCAACCCATGGCAAATTAGTGTCATTGTGGAAATTGGGAAATCGGGCTATTTGGTGAACAGACAGCTAATATCAACAAGCCCTTATTCGGCTCATATTAATTTTCATTTCATTACATTTTATTTCTCTCTTTTCTATTTTTAGCTACAAAATTTTCTATAAAATAATTACACATAAATCGAAAATTTTTCCTTCTTTTTTCAACCACTTATTTTTTATAAAAATGCTACTATTCCACTTATTTTCATTTTCACAAAACGAGGGCCAAGTATCATTATGCGTTGTTCATAGTGAACATGAGCAACTTATCCAATGATAATACGTGGTCTTGCAGCTCCCGAAACATAGCCTAGTGGAGCAAAGGACAGGAGTGAGATTATCTCACGCCTTTCTGGCAGCCGCAATGCGGGGGTTCGATTCTTAAAATATGGAATTGGACTCCTTGTAGGCGCAATGTACAAGCAGCTCTTGTTTCCTTACCTGTTGAAACATATTTCGCGATTTACCTTCCTTACAAAGTTCTAGGAACGACACGATGAGAGCCTTCAAAATTAGGGTTCAACCTTTATAGGTGGTCTTGCAACTTCATCGATGATTCTAATCATTGGACAAAAAATCTCCGGTCAAATATTTTGACTGCGGACCAAACTTTGAAGATCCAAAAAGGCTTTAAAGCGTGATCTCTGTGTCCTGTAGGGCCTGTTAAATTCACAAGCTTTGAGGATTCCAAAAGTTGGAAATTGTACCAAACATTTATTTTGATTAAGAGACAGAACTTCATTTTAAAAATAAATGTTCTTGTTATCGACCGACCCCACGACAAATATCAGAACCCATTATAATGTACGACTCGATATGGCAATTTGAGAAGACATCCAACCTAAAAGCCATTTGACACAAAGCCATCATTAAGCGCATGAATAATTTGATAATCACATTCAAGTTTCTTGATTTTCATAATACCGAGTTTTGAAAAAACAATAATTTTGAGTACTATGTGAGTCCAACGTCGACCAACAATAATTATGATAAAAAAAATCCTAATTTCGAATAAGACATATTAATTGATAATTATTTTCAAATCACTTCAAAATTAATGGTTCACCATCACATAAAATTATTTATATTTTCATTAAATAGAATATGGTTTGCGTACGCACCTTAGCAATTTGAAAAAGGCGACAAAAAGTGAGAGAGATGATCTTTCGCTAATCTAATTTTCGATAGAGTAAACAAAGAGCTAAGGTAGATAGATAATAACATTGCAAATTGATCTAACTAAGAGATAATATTACTATTTGTCTTGTAGTAAGCAGGACTTAACTCGTGTGTATATAATATATATATATATATATATATATATATATATATATATATATATATTTTTTTTTTTTTTTATTTTTTTTTTTTTCCTTTTACTGAAATAAAAAAAAATTAGTTTTCCTATCCAATTGTTTGTTGACAACAATGCAAATGACAACAATAGTGTAAAAATCAGGGTACAAATGATATAAACCTGAGAAGAAAGATGAGGATACAGAGTAGAACAACCATGGACAAGTTTCTTTTTTGGAATAGTACTGTGTATACCATAAATCAGTACTATCTCGTATGAGTGTTGTCATGGTGCAAAATTATTACTGCTTCCATGTCTCAAGGATAGCCCATTTTCCAGCATTTTTTTTATTTATTATTATTATTTTTTTCCTACTACTGAAAAATTTACAAAAGTCTAAAGAAAAACAAGAGTAATCAAATATCCCTGTCTTTGACCAGTTCCAAGTGTTCATCCTCTTCCGCCGCCACAAAGCGGTGATCACCACCACCGGCACAGGCACAGGCACCGGCCTTTCTTTTCTGCAGATGCATTTGCACATAGAATTTCAAGAAGAGAAAGAGAATGGCACCATTAAGCACTGAATTGAAAACCCATGCTCCGATTCCATTGCATCCTCCTTTAATGAAATGCAGCAATAGCACACCGACATGGCACAGTAGATTGCAACTCAACAACACCATCTGGCAGTTTACGACGAACGGAAAACACGCACTCCGCAGCCCTATCGCCGTCCAGAACCGGTACCCGTACACGACGGAGTATACTAAAGTGGTGAGAAGAATTGCAACCACTTGAAATGATTGAGAAAATTCGAGCCATAGAAATGACATGAAGATTAAAATTGAGTGGTTGAAAAGCTTGAAGAAGGACAGTCTTCGCCGGCGTAAAATTGTGAAGTATGTTCGTACGGCGTGGAGGAACCGCGAGAGGTAATAGATGTATGACCAGAAGAACACGCGGCCGGAGGGGCGTGTGCCTAGAGGGAAACAGAGAAGCCATTGAAAAGGTGTCGTCCGTAAACGACGCCAGAACCACCGTGTGTCACGGATCTCCGCGGCAGTGGAGAGGAGGATGCCAGTGAAGATTGTAACGGAGATAAGAGCCATGCTTAGGGAGTGTACCGCGGGGATGGGGCCGAGCGGGAGTGGACGGCGGTGGCGGAACACCAGGAGAAGAAGTAAATGAAGAAAAACCGACACGGCAACATAAGCGGCAATTGAGGAAAATAGGAAAGACCAGGTGGACCCCCACGATTGGGTGTGACTCCACCGGAACCCGACGATTGATGGGTGCTCCGACAGATAATACCTTATGCTCGGAATTAACATCATCGGCCGGACGATATAGTAATAAATCCCAAAATTCTTTGTCAAAGGTAATTTTTTTATAAAATAAAATTCTGGGGTTTACATGGAGGATGAAAAATGTCGCCTTTGATAGAACAAAGGCAAAGTTCTGTATCCTTTTCTTAACCTTCAGATTTTAGATGAAATCGTGAAGTGGAGAAGATATGGATTTTTTGGTGAAAATTGGGACAGGTGATTATTTAGTGTTGGGAGTGTGTACGTGGAGGATTCTGGTTGGAGCTGTTATGTTCAAATATGGCTGCAGATATTTGTTTTCGTGATTTCTCACGTTACAAAAAAAAAGGGTAAACTTTCAGCACAGTTTATAAGTAAATTTCTAAATCGCACGATCAAGTGATAATTATTCTATAAGTAAGAATTATCACGTAATTAGCTAATATTATTCACCTTATGCCTTCTGATGAAAGGCAGATTAATACGATCACCGACATCTGCACCTAATCTCTTTAATATGATGGGGAAAAAATGGAAACGCGTACCACATTAATTAATTTTCAACTATTGAAATTGAAAAACAAAATGTGCAAAAACTGTTAATAAGGGGACCAACCCTAAGTTAAACCATGTACAATTATTTGTGATGCATCAATTGACATTTGAACGACATGTACACTCGTAGACTTCAATATTTAGCCCATGTTTGATTACTATTATTTAATTTTTTTTTTCTTATACTTATTTTTATCCATATATTCTCATAAAAAAATATTATTCACATAAAATCAAATTTTTTAACCACACATTCTTCAAAAGTTTACTATTCAAAAACTCGTTCTTCTCAAAAATGCTATCGAACAAGGTCCTAATATACAATTATTTGTGATGTAGGGAATTACATTTGAACGACATGCACGCTTATAAAGTTCAATGTTCAATATTAGCAAGGGCGTTGCTACTTTGCCAGGTTTTAAAACCAAGCTTTGAAAACAGGTGCTTGTGTCCTTGTATTTTTTTTCCTTTTTTTGTGATCGTCCAATAATCAGATGACGCGTGTAATCTGATTCCAAATCCTGTATTTTAACCCTGATAGTATAGCATGTTTCTATTAACAATTCCTACAAGCTATTAAAATACTGCGTGCTATTAAAATACTTCACTAGTTTACAATTCCTACAAGCTAACTCGCCCAATGGTCATATATCGTTTAAATTTTAACATTTAGGTCCTATCTACATATTTTCTTACAGAACTGGTCCCTACCGTCATCTTCCGACCATTTCCTCCTTAAATGGGCACTTGCCTTGTACATTACTTATTTCACAGGGTAAATTTGTTCGATGTTATCATCGCCCCCACCAACTAATCAATGATAATACAACTTCATAATGACAAGTACATCACTAAATAATCAATAAAATCACTTATTGGTAATAAGACGACTTTACAACAAAACTTTACAGGTAACATTAATTGACAATCCAGCAGTCAAATATTATGACATCTTTATAATGAAGACGTACAATAATACAACTCTATAATTAAATGTAATTTATGGAGCTAATTGACAAAACAATTGAACAAGTAAAAACGTAACTATATGCTGAAACGTAAATAAATCAACATAAAAGCAAAAGGATAAAAAGAAAGATTAAAATCTAATTATAACAAATAATAATTTAATATGTAAGTAAATTAATACTAACACATTTAATCTCAATAAATTCAAAATACTTAAATATGGGTTTATTTGAATCTATAAGATATCAGCCGTCCTTTGAAAACTGACCAATTATTTAGGGGCTGTTTGGGTCCGATTTTTTCATCCAAAAAATTGATTTTTTTAATCGTTATTTTACTATTTCAGCCGTCGTATTTGATTTCTTCTCTCACAGGTGGACCTCACTTTTCTCATAACTGTCAAAAAATCAATTCTCAAAATCACTCTCAAACAGGCTCTTAGTTGTTTCATACACCACTTTATTTTTTAACAACGAGTCGGTGCAATATTAATTTGGTAAGCAGAATTAAGGGCGTGGTTCTGGCTAGTCGATACATATTTTTAAATGTTAATTAATCATAATAAATCTTAAAAAGTTGTATTTCATGCCGACCGAACCTAAATCTAATCAAAATCTAGAAGCACTAAACTCTAATTAATCAATCCGATACATGTTACCAAATTAAAATGTTGCCACCCACAGTCACGTTACTATCATTCCACAATAAAATAAGATCTTTGAAAAAATATCATTCCTCAACTAATGTTTTGATGGGATTTAAAAGATTAAAAATCCTAATTATTTAGTTTATTTGAATAGATTTTCATGAATTCCATAAAAATCTCATCAAATATGTTAAAATTTCAAAAAATTTGATTATTTCAATTTTTAAGCTCAAAATCCTTCCAAATATTTTAAAATCACTATATTAATGAAATCTTTAAAAACCCATCAGTTATTGAGGATCCTTAAATTTTAGGGAATTTCATTAAAATCTCAATTAGTAACTGTTGACCTCGAAAATTGGTTTTTCCTTGTGGCCAACCGAAAGTTACTCCACGTATTTCTCCCTGCGCACAATCAGCGAATGGTCAGACGCACACGGTTGGGACCAACGACGGTGGTGGCGGCCGTATATACTCTGACGGTCAAGTCCAGGGGCTATGCAAATCAATGATAATGGGGGAGGAGAAAATATATAAGCTTGCTATGGAGTGCTATGTAGTAAGAGCTTCATTACCTTTGCCTCTTGTTAAACATTGGATATTTATAGGTGGTATGAGCCTTTGGATGTGGGACGCAAATATACACCTAACGGTATGATGCGTTCACTCATAGGCGTCAATCAGCCGCGTCTGTAGAGTGGGCGGACAGCTTGTCTCTTCTGAGTTGAATTGACATAAAGTTGATAAATTACATCATCTAGTCTTATGGAGACGTCAAATCAATTTAAACCTTAGGTACAGGAAAGATCTTGGCATAAATCTCTTTCTGAAATTAGCGGTGGATCCTCTAACCGGGGTCCACTTGGCCTCGAACTCGGGGACGAGGTACTTTTGGTCAGGTACTACTAGGTTGCAGGTATTGCTGACATCACTTCGGAAACACTTCGGATGGGTCTTTACCAGGTCGGAACGTATGGTGGTGAGCGTCCGAGGCGTATCAGATCGGTCTCAGATCGGAGTGTGAGCGTCTGAGGCGTATTAGATGGGTCTCAGATCGGAGTGTAACAGTGGTCCCCCAAGTTCAAGTATGAATATTTATATCATGGGTGGACTTGCTTTTCTGACCGGACTACGACTTGTGGGAGCTTGGGGGTTGATTTTTTGCAGTAATCGAGGTTGTGATCCGAGGCAGATGTGCTAAAGTTTCGTTACTGTGTGCAGCGTCCGAGGTGGTGACCGTCATGAGACGGCGCGTCAGGTGCATCGAAGCGTCGTAAGGTGCGTTGACCCACATGGCCGACGCGTGGGGAGGGCTAAAACTTTGTAAAGCATGGGAGGGAACGCAGCATTCGAGGCGATGACCCACCGGGGGTGTCGCGTCAGATGCGTCCAAGCTTTGTAAAATTGAGTGAGGAGCTCATCTGCCATCGGTGTGCTAAGCCACAGGTCGACGCGTTGGGAGATGGCTAAAACTTTGTTAAGCATGGGAGGGAACGCAGCATCCGAGGAGATGACCCACAAGGGCCTTTATGTCAGGTGCGTCCAAACTTTTAAAAGCTGAGTGAGGAGCTCATCTACCATCGGTGCGCTGACCCACAAGGCCGACGCGTTGGGAGATGGCTAAAACTTTGTAAAGCATGGGAGGGAACGCAGCATCCGAGGCGATAACCCACAGGGGCCTTCGCGTCAGGTGCGTCCAAACTTTGTAAAGTTGAGTGAGGAGCTCATTTGCCACCGGTGCGCTGACCCACAGGGTCGATGCGTTGGGAGATGGCTAAAACTTTGTAAAGCATGAGAGGAAACGCAACATCCGAGGTGATGACCCATAGGGGCCTTCGCATCAGGTATGTCTAAGTTTTGTAAAGTTGAGTGAGGAGCTTGATCCAAGGCGATTCAAACGTCAAATGATTTGACAACTGTTGCGTGTTTTCAAGGTGACTATTGGGTGCCATGCCCATTCTCCTAAAAGGCTGCTGCGGCTACTTATTATTATTGAGGCTGGTTGTAACCGAGGTGACGCATTTTAAGCAAGCGTAAAAGTCACAGCGACATCTTGGGCGTAGATCAAACTGACGTTTCATTTCAACGGCCTAGATTGAAGATGCGATGAATGGCTTAGATTGATCGTATTTGAATTCGACGATGGAGATCGGATTTGTCTTTCTATAAAAGGAGGACTCTGAGGTTTTCTCAGGCTTTCTACCTTTGCGAAACAAATAATTTACTCTGCTCTCACGTAATTGGCGATTTTCGACATTTTCTAAGCAACTCCGGCGAGAAAATTGAACTTCCGGCGACTTTACATCATTTCCGGCTAGGAAAACCTTCAAACTCGTAAGTTTCATACCTTTTAGGGCTTTTACATTTTAAAAGAATGGCCTCGGAGGGAAGTTCTGGTTCGGGGAGGGGGTTATAACTAGTGAGGGTGGACGAGCCCGTTGTGGCGACCTCCTCAGAAATAGCTGGTGCAATAATAGGGGGGAAGAATATATGGAAGCGACCGGATAGCCCAGCAGATACGTCTATGCATTGGGGGGCATCGGACTACCCATCTAAATTAAGATAGGCCGACCTGGGGAGACTTAGGACAGAGTATAGGATCCCTGATAGTATAGATTTGACCCTCCCCGGGTCGGAAGAAAGAGCCTGCTACCCTAGGCCGGGCTGCGTGGCCATTAGTGAGGCCAGACTTAGGCTACCAGTTCACACATTCTTTAGGATGGTGCTTAGATCCTATGGGCTAGCCCTGACGCAGCTCAATCCGAATTCCTGGAGCCAAATGGTGGGCTCCTGGATGTTGTGGAAAGAGGTGTCATTAGGGGTGGAGATGCCCCTCTCCGTTTTCCAGACCCTTTATATACCTAAGGTTACTGCCGGGGGGGATAAGACCAGGGGATGGTATTACCTTACTTCATGGGGTTCCCACACTCCATTCGTAGTCGATTTGCCAAGCTCCATCAAAGAATGGAAGAGCTCGTGGTGCTGGGCCGCAGGGCGATGGGACACGATCGAGGGGGACCCCCTGGCGCCTCTTACGGTCCCGACGAAGTATTCAACACTTAGTGAGTATAGTAGTAGTTTTTCCTTATATTTCTCTTCGATTTGAATTGTGCCTAACAGTTACATTTCGTTTGTAGATGCTCTTC